TTGTTCAGAAACTATGTTGTTGCAATGTTCAGTAACTATTACTACATTGTTCAGAAACTATGTTGTTGCAATGTTCAGTAACTATTACTACATTGTTCAGAAATTACATTGTCCCATTATTAAGAAACTATATTGTTGCATTGTTCAAAGCTTGACATGGTCTGGTGATTAGGGTGTTTGCCTCACAATCTGCAAGTAATGTGATCAAACCCTTCCTTCATGGGAGCATTGTAAAGCAACGGTCAATCCCATTACGCATTGGTAAAAGAGTAGCCTTAATAGTTGGCAATGACTGGTGTTGACTAACTGCCTTCTCTCTTAGACTATCACTTGATAATTAGGGACAGATAGTGCAGATAGCCCTCAAGTAGCTTTTTATGAAAATTCATCAAACAAACTTTGTTCAGAAACTATATTGTTAGAGATAAAGAAAGTTCTTGTTTAACCTCATAAGTTTAATCTCTTAGTTTCACACACACACAAACATCAAGCTTGATTTGGATTAACCTAAACCTTTCTATTATACATGCATTTTGAATCCACATTGATAGTAAATTTGTATTATTTGAGGAGCGTTTGAAGCTTTTCATGTGGAATAAAAGAATCCAATTCCCACTTCTTTCACCACTAATAACTGGTTTGATCAAGTGACATTAAATATTCTATTCAGTTTCATTTGAAACACTTTTAATATGTAGCAAACTAAGTTTCAAGGCAAGAAAAGTATGTTTCATGGCGTTACATTAAATGTTACACCCTGTGTCCTGTTTTTCTTTTTGAAAAATAGTAACATTCACAAATATCAATAAGTAAAGGACCAGGGCAACAGTTATGATAGTTTATTATGTTTAAACGTTTAAAGAAAAGGTTACCCTTCTATAGATTTTTCTCACAGTTTATTTTCCAGTATATAATCTAGAACGTTTGACCTAGAAGGGTCAAGTTTCTATTGTTCACTGTGCAGGTCAACTCAGTGTTATTAAGCATAGTTTTCAGCTGATATTATTACTTTCTTTTGGTTTGAAATGTAATTATTGTCACTGAAATAAAAGTCTGTTTGTTTTTTTTTCCATGACATGTCATAGGTTAAGTTTACCATGTCTTTTTTTTTAAACAGATGAACTCATTCATAAGACATTTATATCCTTTGGTGCTATACAAGAAATACGAGTCTTCAAAGATAAAGGTTATGCATTTATCAGGTATGTTTGCAATGAACAAATTCATGAACATGTTTATAACAACTAATGGACCTTAGTTATCAGCTATGTAAGGGTGTGTATGTGAGATAATATGCCTAATATTTGGCCACCAGTGGAAAATTTTACTATACAGCAATAGAATACAATGAAATAAGTAGAACTAACGCGTTAAAGAAAAAAGAAAACGTTTAATAATAATAATTGTGAATTGCTTTTCTACACAAAATTTTATTATGTATTTCACAGTGTTTTAAATGAAATGAACAACGTTAAATTAACATTATTGAAGCAAAAGAAAATGCAAAGTTAAAAACTGGTTTTGCACAAAAATTAGATAAGAAATCGTTTTACAGATGTCATAACGATACTTTTGGTTGAATATCTAGTAAATTTTTTAATTCATTTTAATAATAAATATAACTGTAAATAATATTTATAAACAACTTGTGTAGAAAAGAAATACAGTCTGTATTTTACATAGTCTGAGTGATACAATGTATCCTGGTAGGAAAGGCATCTGAGCTGTAGTACCCACAAAACAGTGGGATACACTGTCTGTCAGATTTTACATTGACTCTGAAGCCTCACATATAAAAATAAACCGGTTCAAAGATGTGGTTATTATTCACCATTTGCAGCCAGTTCTCAGAAGGAGGCTGCTCCTAATTTAACAAAACCAAAATCAACAGAATAAAACAGACTGCTAAAAGCAAACCTCTGGGGTTTATTAGTAAATCTCAAGAAAGGAAGTTGAAACTTATCTTCCTGAAGTTAATGACAACATTTTTTATTTTCAAACATTCCAGTTTCAGATGATTGTACTGTGTTGTAGAATTATTTTCTATCATTTACAACTTTTTATCAGTTTTGTAACTGGCCAGGTGGTTAGGAAGCTCGACTCGCAATCTGAGGGTCGCGGGTTCGATTCCCCGTCACACCAAATGTGCTCGCCCTTTTAGCCGTGGGGGCATAATAATGTGACAGTCAATCCCACTATTTGTTGGTAAAATAGTTGGCGGTGGATGGTGATGACTAGCTGCCTTCCCTCTAGTCTTACACTGCTAAATTAGGGGATGGTTGGCATCAGGAAGGGCATCCGGTCGTAAAAACCCTGCCAAAACCGAAAATAGCGACCCCGTATAGATACTGAGTGCACGTATATTGTAAACTTAAACGATACTAAACTTTTTTACCTTTCTGGAAAAGTTGTTTTCTACTACAAATGTGTATGTGTGTGACATTTGCCATCATTCGTGAATAGATTCTGAGAAAAATATTTAATGTCTTTCGTTAATTTTGTCAAAACAAAAACATTTTTCCAGGTGTAATGTTTGGGAAAAACAATTAGTGTGATTTTATAATAGCATTCACGCCTTGCTTATCATAGATATCGGTGTTTTTTAATTATTATTTTTTTGTCTTAGATTTGCCACTAAAGAAGCAGCAACACATGCCATTGTCGGAACTCATAATTCGGAAATAAATGGTCAAATTGTCAAGTGTTCCTGGGGGAAGGAATCCTCAGATCCAACCAATCAGCAACAGGCTCAGGTATTGAACAAAGTTCTAGTGAGAGATAGATATATCACAAATTAAGTATTTTTGAATTAGTCAGAAGTACCTTGGAAAGTGTCATGTAGAGTTGACTAACCTTTTGAAGTGTGAAGTTTTCTGATTAATCACAAGGACCTTGTGAAGTGGGACATTAATTAATCAGTAGGACCTTGGAAGGTATCATGTAGAGCTGATTAACCTTGTGAAGTGTGAAGTTTTCTGATTAATCACAAGGACCTTGTGAAGTGGGACATTAATTAATCAGTAGGACCTTGGAAAGTGTCATATAGAGTTGATTAACCTTTTGAAGTTGTGAAGTTTTCTGATTAATCACAAGGACCTTGTGAATCTCAACAACTAAATAAACACACAGTCTACTGACCGACTCTTTCCTGGTTATAATGATATCTGGTGCATAACCAATGAAAAAAACTGAATTTCAAATTTTAAACCTTACACTTAAAATAATTCGTGACTTGATTTACTGTTAATAATAAAAAAAGCTGGAAAACGTTTGAAACAACTGAACTTGATGAAAGCTTGAAAAAAAAAATACATCTCAGTCTTTTATGCTGAGATAATTATTTGTTAGATATCTGACAAGATAAGTTTACCACCTCCCAAGGTCCTACTGATTAATTAATGTCGCACTTGAGATGAGCATATTTTCAGATACAATGATGCTAGTTAATGTGGATATTAACAAACTGAAGTTGGTGTGTTTTTCTTTCAATCCACGTTAGTTGTTGAGATGAGCATATTTTCAGATACAATGATGCTAGTTAATGTGGATATTAACAAACTGAAGTTGGTGTGTTTTTCTTTCAATCCACGTTAGTTGTTGAGATGAGCATATTTTCAGATACAATGATGCTAGTTAATGTGGATATTAACAAACTGAAGTTGGCGTGTTTTTCTTTCAATCCACGTTAGTTGTTGAGATGAGCATATTTTCAGATACAATGATGCTAGTTAATG